CCCCAAAACCCCAAAACCCCAAAACCCCATAAAGCAAAATTTTTTGACTAAGTTGTGAATTAATAATTAATAATGTTTATATTATAAAGCTTGCTGTTAATTAATTTCATTTGAATAAAAATACCACCATTGCTCCAGCAACTACTAGAAGCATTGCCATTACTTATTCTAGATTTGGAATCATATTTAAGAACACTGCTCCTAAAATTGCACTACATATACTATGAGTTTGAATGATTGCCATTGAAGGACCCATCGGTCCTTTAACAACTGCAGTTAGTCCAAGTAAACTAGTTAGCATCATTGGAACACTTGTTAGAAACCCTATCACAAAATTCTAAGTATTATACTTGGGATATCCTGTGATGAAATAGTACAGAAAGAATGGTAAACATATTATAGCGCATTGAAACCCGCAATCAACTGAAAAATCATATGGATTATATCCAATCTTAAGATATAAATATTTAGCTTGAATGCCTCTAGTACATGATAAAAATGCACAAAATATTGACAACCCTACTACTTAGAGTCTCAGGTAAAACTGATTTTAATTCTAAACTTCCTATTAAGTAGGAATATTGGAATTTATTTCTTGATTTTTTGCTATTGAAACCCAGGATACTCCTGATATGATTATTAAAATTCCAAAAATCATTGTTTTACTCAATTTTTCTCTAAAGTAAAGCCACCCAAATATTATCTAGAAAACAATAGAAAAACAGAGAAGACTCATAGCGATACCAATGTTAAGATTTGCTTTCTTGCATAAATTAGTGATTACTATTAGTAAATATATGTAGGCAAAGAAGTTTAATGCTCTGAAGATGTTGTGGAGGAGTATCTCCCTAGAAGACATTCCTCTCATAAATACTTCTATCATTTACTGTGAAAAATTCTTGCTTGTTTGCTTTGATTGTTTTATCTGTAAAAATTTGAAAATCAAGCTTATCAATAGGAATCCACTGAATGATAGAAAGATTAGTTCAAAATCATCGTCGTCAGATAAAGCATAGAAGAAATTTTGAATTCCAATCAGTAATGAACAACCAATTACATGTCCAAAGAGAATCTTTTATTTTTCTTGAGTCTATTATGATATTAAAAATTTCAAATTACAGGTGCTTTTTCTTTTTACAAGAGAGGCTCCTCAAGATCTTTATTGTTATTTTCAACCATTAAATTTAGTATCTGAAAAAACAAATTAATATTTGTGATTATTTAATTTTTGTGATCTTATGTTCTTATAGCAATAAGGGGTTTTGGGGTTTTGGGGAGATCGGAAGAGCACACGTCTGAAC